AGAGCAGGGCAGGGGCTGGGGGAGACCAGCACCGGGAGGGGAGTGGGGTTCCCAGCTCTGGACTCAGTGCTCTGCTCCCCACAGACAGCCTTGGGTTCACCCACAGACTGAGATGGAGGGCTCTGGGGCGTGCCTGGGGTTTGAGTTCAGGCTCTCCAGGCGTCGATAGCCAGCGCCCCTCTTACTGTGGCCATCTCAGCCTGGCCTCCTGCCAGGACCAGGAGGCCCTGTCTGTAGAGCCCATGGATGGGAGCAGGGACATGTCACTTGATGCCTTGAGTGACCCCTGGATTTACTGCTGTGTGACAGCCTCCGGGGATGTTGACCAGACAGCTCTGGGGCCCCTGCCTGCACATAGGACTGACCAGCGGGTCCCAGGAGAGCGTGTGCTCTATGTGTGGAGGGCTGTGGGCCCTTCCCTGCCCGGCAGGGTCTGGCTCCCTTTCACAGGACAGGGCAGTAGGAGACGGTCCCAGGCTGCACGTGCGCCCCCACTGCAGTCACTGGTGGGCAGGTTGGGGGTGGGGGCAAGAGAAGGGAGGGCGTGCCGTGTGGTTTTGCATCTTTTCCAGACTGTTGGCCTTGACCTTGCAGGGTCCACCTCCAAATCTCAAGGGTAGTGAGGGCAATCAGGAAGGAATTATAGGCCAGTGGTCTGGCAGGAAGCTTGACCTTTGGCCTGGGTGAGCTGCAGAGGACCCCCACGACACCCCCCCTCCCCGACCTGGGGCTCACCTGCTGAGCCATGCACAGCAGCTGTCCCTGAGGAGGTCTGTGTTCAGGTCTGTGTGGCCTGTGAGCCTGCTGTTACAGACCCACACTCTGCTATTTTCTTTTTAAAAGATTTTATTTATTTGTGCATACAGAACTGGGGTACAGGCCGGAGGTGCAGAAGAAGTGAGAGGATTCACCAGAGACAGAGTGGGGAGCAGAACAGGCAGATTGACGAAGTCCACTGCTGAGGGAGCAGTGGGAGACAGGAGAGGTCTGCCGCGCCATATGGTCAGCTTCCTGGCCGGGGTCAAACTTGCATCCAAGCGGTCCCTCTAGCTTCACAGTGCGGCGCTCCAACCCGCTGCGCCACCTTCAGGAAGGGCCCTCTTTGCCATTTTCTGCTCTGGCTTGGGGTTGGGGAGGCACAGCTCAACTGCAAACTGGGAAACAACTTTATTAAGGACAGAAATAATCACAGGACAATCTTAGTCAAAATAACCCCATGGTTGAGTTGTTCCCACGAGCCAGGCCGAGAAGCGCTTTATCTGGACAAACAGAATGGACTGGAGACCGCTAAACTCTTTGTTTTAAACATGAAACCTGGCAGCGTTGCAGGTTTTATTTTTGCCTCCAGGCATGTGGGTGAAGAAGGAAGTTCTGATGGTGTTCTGGCTTTACAAAGAGAACTCACCAGTAACTCTGCCTTTGAGGAAACAGACATCTGTTTAAATGAGAATATACCTCAGTGGCAAATTATTGAGCAAGACACCCAGCAGAATGAGGGCGTAAAAATGACTCTCCAGGAACTAGGAATCATCTCGAAGCCAGGCGTCTCAGAAATGGCCTGGTGAGGAACAGAGCTTAGGAGGCAGCTTCCTCGGCAGACCTGCCTCCCCTTGCTGGAATTGGGAGCGTGGAAACGCGGGCCGGGTCTCTCTGACTTTGCCGGCTTCGGAAGGTCGGAAGGCGCCAGGGCTACGTGGGTAAATGCAAGGAGCTCGGTGGTCTGGAGAAGTCGCAAACATGTCAGTGTCCTGATGGGAGAGGCTGGCTGGGAGCCAGCGACACGAGTGTGGTGGTCTGCAGGTGCATTTCCTTATATATTCTTCACAAATATGGTGGGGGATTGCTGTTGTTCACTCTGCCTTACACGGGAGGAAGCCTCAGCTCAGAGAGGGCCAGGGCTTGCCCACAGTCACACAATGAGGAAGTTAAGGAGTGCAGAGGGCGCTTGCGTGGGCTCTGCACCAGAGACCTGGAGCCACAGTGGACTCTGCTGAGTGGCGTGGAGCAAGTCACCATGTTCTCCAAGGCTTAAAACGGCACAGAATTATTGCACAGTTTTGGAGGTGTCTGCAGAGTGGGGGGGGGGGTCTGCCCAGGGTCTGGCCTGTGGCCCTTCCCCCACCCCTGGAGCCAGCAGAGCAGCAGCTTCCAGCCTCTGTCTGACACAATCCCGCCTCCTTCCCTCACTTACAGAGCCCGTTGGGTCACGTTGGACATTCCCAGGTAATCCAAGGTAATCTCAAAACATGAACTTTTCACAGCGGTGGGGTTCCTTCGTGGGGTAAGGTGACACCCAGGCACAGGTTCCAGGGGTTACGGCCTTGGCCAAAGAGCTGGACATTGGGGATGACGGTCCTCTCTCCTGTGGGAGGTCCAGGGGGTGGGGGGTGCAAAATGAAGATCCCAGCACCCAGGGGTTGACTGAGGCTGGTGACCCCTTGGAGAGCAAATGGTATATCAGAAGGCTGGTGCTTCTGGGAGGAGACAGTGCCTAGAAGAAGCCCCTGGCCCATGAGGGGTGACCCCTCGAAGTCCCCGACCTCTCCTGAAGGCGTGGTCCAGGACTCAGCACACACAGAGCAGGAGTCATGTCCCAGCTCTGCCTCCTCCCGGCAGCCCGAGCGTAGATGTGGTGGATGAGGGTGGACGAGAAGGGAGGAAACCACAGACGTGCCTGCACGTGACCTCATTTCATCCTCCCCGCGGTGGGTCATCTGCCTCCTCTTTGCAGAGGTGGAAACAGTAGCCCAGGGAGCTCAAGCCCCTGTCCTGAGAGCGCACAGCCACCAGGCGGGCCTGGGACTGGGGCTGGGCTGCTCACGCGCCAGGGCCACAAGACGTGGTGCCCGCCTCCGTGGCTCTTTGCCACCTCTCCCTGTCTCCTGGGCTGCGGCATCCTCAGTCTTTTTCTTGAATTCAACCTCCTGCTTTTTGTTATTTGAATGCATCTTTTTGAAAATGAGACTTTAATTACTCCCATAAGTGGAAAATCAGAATTCACAGGTTCGCCATATATAATTGTATAACACACATTACAATGAATTTATCACTATAAACATGAAATGTGTTCATCCGTAGACCTTGTGAAATGATCTCACATAGCATCCGTGGATTCAGCCTTTCTTTGGGGATCGAGTCCACAGTTGGTCTGATTTTTTTTTTTAAGATTTATTTATTTATGCATGCAGAACTGGGGTACAGGCCAGAGACTCAGGGGCGGCGAGAGGCTTCACCAGAGACAGAGTGGGGAGCAGAACAGGCAGACTGACGAAGTACACTGCTGAGGGGAGCAGCGGGTGAGACAGGAGAGGTCTGCTGCGCCATGCGGGTCACCTCCCTGGCCCGGGATCAAACTTGTGCTGCAGTGACTGCAGTTAGTTCATAGGGCTGCTTTAACCTGTTGAGCCCCCAGGGAGGGCTCCACAGTTGGTGTGATTTTACCAGACTGGAATTAATGGCTCTGTTTCCTGTGGCGTCAAAATTTCCAGTGTCTTCCCAGCACAGTTGAATCCAGGCCCCCCGGCATGCCTCGGGCCCTCCTCTCTGGCTACTGATGCCCTTTGCCCTCAGACATGGCAGGGTTTCTCTTACTACCCAGTTAGAAGGTGTCAGGATTTGAACCCAGGCCATAGCCATGGAGCTTGCACTACTTTCCTCTGCTATTGATGTCGGCAAAGCCGATGGTGAAAACTAAACAGGCTTGAAAGTGAAGTAGGAGAGGGACTGGCTGGGTCATCCGGAGCCCCAAGCTCGCAGAGGCCCGTTGGTCTCATCGGCAAACAGCAAGTTTAGATCAAATGCACCGGCCAAGTTTCGGGGGTCCAAGAGAGCAAGTCCTGCCAAGGCATGGGGCTTAGGGCCCCTTTGTAACCCCTCTGGGGACACATATGGTGGGCGGCCATGATGGCCAGGCCCAGCCCCATGGTTTTGTGTGAAGGTGGGACTTCACGGCGGGTCCAGATATGTTCTCCACTGGAAGTTTTAGGTTTCCAGTGAGCTCAGCATCCGGACAGAGCTGATTTTTGTAAGAACTGAATTTTGCAAGTGCCTCATAGTTCTGTCCTCTGTTGCAATACTAACATCCTCTGAGAAGGGCGTACAGCTCTCGTGTAGCTTGCTTAATAGTCATGGTTTATTAATTCCAACTTTTCCCAAGGGCGAGGGGGAAAAGATTCCTGATTGCATGTGATCATCGGGGGCCTTGGGCCCACAGAAGGGCTTGCCTGAGGGCGGAAGGGGGTGCGGGGTGGGGAGGGTGTGGGGGTGAATGGGAAGGGGGGAGACCTTATCGGGGGCTGATGTGTGGTGGATGAGTTTGCTCCTCATTCTTCTCTGTCTGCTTTGGAGCCCTGACGCCTCTTTAGCGCCCAGGCACAGCCTGCTTCTCTAAGAGGGAAGAGAGCGCAGGCTTCCAGGCCCAGCTGCGTTCCCCACCGGAAGGTTTGGGCTTCAGTGAGCTCAGCATCTGGTCAGAGCTGGAACCAGTCGGTCTTAGTCCCAGTCTCCATTCCCCTGCCGCCTAGCTGCGTGACCGTGGACAGGTCATTTCTCCCCTCTGTGGGCCATCTCTTCATTCACAAAATGGGAATAGTAATAATAACTTCCTCAGAGGACTGAGGTGAAGATTCAAGGGGTGAGTCCTGTGTGTTCAGAACTTGGAGGAAATGCTAGACAGTAGATCCTTCTACAGCAGAGCTGCCTTTGAACCTGGCCCCCAGACCACGGCTGGGAGGGCCTACCCCTCCCTGGACCTCTGCTTCTTTATCTGGAAATGGCTTTGGAAACAGTCCCTGCTTCGCAGGGGGTGGTGAGCGGGCCCTAGGCAGAGTGCAGAGATGGCTGAACCCTGACCCTGGCGAGGTAGGTGTTCCCTGGGCTCTCCCCAGGCAGCCCCTCCAGGAGTGTGTGGGTGGGTGTGGGGTGTGCTGCTCCAGCTGCCCCGCCCAGCTGTGACGCTCTTGCCCCTGCCTGCCTGAGGGGCAGGAAGGAAGTGAGGAGGGCAGCCAGCAGCTTCCCCTTTTCTGCCCTGCTCCCGGCCGCCCGGCTCCTTCCCCTCAGAGCCTAGCGGAGGGGACCGCAGCCACACCATGGCCCTCCGCGTCTCTGCCCTCCGCCAGACCTGCTGCTGCTTCAATGTCCGCATCGCCACCATCGCCCTGGCTGTGTACCATGTGGTGAGTGCGGGACCCGGGGACACGTGTGCGAGTGTGGGGGTGAAGGGGCTCTGTTGGCCCGAACCCCCTGCCGTGGGAGGTTCACCACCCTCTAGATGAAACCCTTCCCTACCCTGGGCCTCAGTCTCCCCCCCTGCAGGAGTCCCCCTTCCAGGCCGATGGAAGGCACTGTCGCCGTGGGCTGTTTCTGTCTCTGTAAACTGGGCACAGTAGCAGCCGCAAGGTCATCAGGGAGCGAAGGCAGCAGCAGCTGTGGAAGCCAGCGAGGGCTGGGGCTGCTGCCAGGACTCGGGCTCCCCCGCCTCCGCTCCCCCAGCCTCGCCTCCTTCTGTGGGGCCTGGGTGTGGAGGGGCTAGGAGCGGCTCATCCGTTTGTGCTTCCAGGGGGAAAGGACAAGGCCCCTGAGCTCAGGCCTCGACAAACCACTGGCTTCTCGTCCCCAGAGAGGACAGACCCTGTGCTCATAACGGGGGGCAGGGGGACTCATGTGACCCCAGCCCTGTAGCACCCAGGCTCGGGCCAGCAGAGGTCCTCCTGCGAGGCCAGTGTGCAAGCCAGAGCGCTGAGCCTTTGTCTGTGTTTACTCACAGAATGACTCTGAGTGAGTCACAGTCCCCTGCACCCCACCCACCCTGACCCCCAGACCCGAGGCTCCCCCTCTGTCTTGGTGGCCGAAGGTCAGGGTCTTGGATGGGTTCTGTCCAGACCCACCCTCTCACCGCACAGCTCGGAGCCACACCCAGCCCCCCCCACCCCCACCCCGATGGAGGCTCCTTCCTGGGAGGGTGACTCAGGGCCTGTGGTCAGCAGCCCTCTGAGGAGCCTGGGAGGGCTTCCGCACAATCAGCCCAGCAGCAACCTGCAGCGGTGGCTGCAGAGGCTGCTCCCTGCCACCGCTGCTGCTCCCTGTGCAGGTGGGACCCTGTGTGCCCGTGTCAGGGCGACCCTGTGCCATCCGTCCCTCTGGCTCCAGACTCCTGTGTGCAAACCCTGGCCTCTCCGCCTCCCAGCTGAGCAGCTTGGGTGCCTCCTGAACCCCAGTCTCCTCATCTGAGAAGTGGGTACCAGAACAATCCTTCCTGCTATGGTTGTTCTGAGGACCCAGGGCGCTGCTGTCCGAGGCTTGGAGCGACACGGCCGGGCGTGTTAGGAGTAGACATGCAGCCTGCAGCATGCACGGCTCGGGTCAAGCGCAGGCCCGGAAGGCTGCTTGCAGGAGGAGCTTAGACGCTGCCCTGTTAGCTGCTGGCCACATGGGGGTGACCTGAGAGCTGAGGATGGCCTTGGCTGCCCCCACTCTGGCCCTCCGATCTCTTTCACTCTGAGATCTTTGGGGTGCGCCCCTGGGAAGCAGGCCCTTGCGTCTTTACCATGGTCCTGCCACTGACTAAGTGACATGGGACAACCTGTGTGTTGGGCCTTGGTTTCGCCTTTATAAACCGAAGGGTCAGGGGGTGGACTAGATGGGAGGTTTCAAATTCCCGTCCTCCAGGACCAGACAGTGAATGAGAGGAGGACTCGGCTCTGGCTTCCGGGGAGCCACTCTGGGGCTGTTCCTGTGACTGGGAAGATGAACTGTGGACGTTGTGGCATTTCCTTTGCCATTTAGAAAGGAAGGGAATGAGGATTTAGAGAAGGAAAATGAGGGATTTTATGTCCCATCTGATGTTCCCATGTTGGTGACTGGGTCAGTGTACAAAAGAGCCCCCAGGCAGCTTGAGCGGAGTTTCCTTGCAGGCTGCTTGGCGCAGAGGCGCCTTGCAAACCCGAGCCTTTGGCTGTTGAGGTTTCAGTGTGAGGTCCTCACCTGTACCTGGTGACCTCATGCACACCTGAGGGGTGCAGCACAAGTGGGCACAGGATCAGGGAGGCCTTCTTGGAGGCGGTGCCTGTGAAAGATGCAGTGCTTAGGTGTAGGGAGGATGCCTGCAGACGTGGAGGTGGCAGGACCTCGGCTGGCAGGGGCGGGCGGTGGGGCTCAGCATGGCAAACTGGAGACTGGGCCCTTGCTGTGGCATGGTGCTGGTGCCCTGGGCTGCAGCCTTCGTCCCTGGGGGCGTCAGATGTGGGCAGCACCGATGCCAGTAGCACCTCCCAGTCGTGACAAAAATACCTCTAGACATTGCCTAATGTCCCCTGGGGGACAACATTCACTCCCAGTTGAGCACCGCCATCTGTAATGTCGGGCGTGGGGGCCATGGGGTTTCGAGGGCAGGAGGGGGGAACTGAGGAGAAGCCGGAGGCTGGAGGGTTGGCACAGGCAGGTGTCTCTGCATGGGGCCCCTGGTTGGTTCCAGAGGGTGCTTGTCCTCTGGCCCTGTGCCAGAGACTCCAGCCCCTTCCCAGAAGGAGAGTGCGGGGGCTTTCCTGTGGCCCAGCGGTCTGGGGGCAGGTGTGCTGCCAGGCCTTGAACATCTGGGTGGAAAAAGAGGCCGCCATCCAGATGTATCGATGGCGCAGACTGATCATCTGGAGCCAGTCATGGGCAGCCACCCTTCACACTGAGAGTTATTTGTGGACTCGGCCTCTCTGGGGACGGTTAAATCGAGCCTGTGGCGTCCTGAGGCAGCGCCACACTTATCGAGTCATTGGGGTGTTGCAACAGGGCAAACCTCTCCTGTCCAGGCCGGGAAGGCGTCCTGGGTTTCTGTTGGGGGCCCTCCTCAGGGTCTCCCTGGACATGCCTGGCTCATGGGTGGCTTTTGGCCAAGCCTGCACACATAGGCAGGCAGAGAACTTCCTCGAGGTGGTCTCTTTGGTTCCATTTGTCTGTCACCCTAAGTCAAAGGCAGTGGAGTAGGGGGGGCCCGCCTCCACAGAAGACCAGAAATAACTCCCCACCCTCTCCTCTCCACGGCGCCTGAATTCCTTGAGAAATGCACTGTTGGATAAATAGTTCACCTGCTGTGATCTGCTCTGTAGAAACAGAACACGCCACACCACGGCCAGGAGGCGGGAGGCTGCCTCCGGGTAGAGGCTGTGGAAGCTCTGATTTTTTGGTTCTGTCTCTCTCGTCTCCATATTGGTACAGTGCACAGGTACTGCTTTTTAAAACAAATTTAAATTCAAAACAGTTTGGAGAACTGTTGCCACCCCGGTACGGCAGACCCGAGCCCGGCCCGCTTCTCACCGCCCGAGCCAGCGCGGCCCTCTCGGGCGGAGCTGAGGCTTGCCGCTCAGCCTCCCTCAGCTCCCCCGCCGCCCTGCCCTGTTCCAGGCCCCTGCGCACGACCCCATGTGGCACTTCGTGGTCAAGCCCCCCTGGGCTCCTTTGGGGGACAGATACTCAGAAGCTTCTGACGACCTGACTGTTTCGGCAATTCTGCCCCCATTTCTTGTGGGCCACTTCTCGGGTGGGGGAGGGGGGCACTTGCGAATTGGGCATTTCTTTGGGGAGGGAGTTGGCAGAGGTGAAGCACCGTCCTGGGCACCACGGCACCGCTCCGTGGGCCTGCGGCACCTGCCGAGCCGTCGGGGTTCTCTGCCTCCCACACTGTTCTCTCTGGAAGAAAATCGGCGTGAATGGGACAGCAAGGTTCTGCTCCCTGTCCTCGGAGGGGGTGTAGGTCCATGCGGCACTGGGGCTCCCGGTGGGGGTTGGCGGGCCTCATTTCTTATTTACGTAAATGACTGATTTATTTATGTCAGCAGAGCCTCACGGATATTTACTTTACGGTCTGGGTCACAATCCAAAGCTTCCTTATTTATTTGGTCGCTCAAGAGCACAACTTTTAAATTAGAAAAAAAAAAAGGTAAACTGAACCGACCTTTATTATTTAAAGGCGCCTCCAGATACGTTCTGGAGCAGTCTGTATTGTAGGTGCCCAGCCCCAGGCCAGGCCAGGTCAGGTGCCAGTTGGCCAAAGATGGGCTGTGAAAATGGCTTTGACAGAGCAGGCTGTGGTGAGGGCACAGACGAGAGGCCTTAGTCCAGCCGGTCCTGGGTGGGGGTTCAGGAGCGGCTGAGGAGGAGGCTGGAGTGCTACGGCGAGCAGGGCTCCACTTGGATTGGGGGGCAAGGGGCTGCTGGGCCTGGGGGGTGGCGGGGGCAGCATGAGCCAAGACCTGGAGTTGGGACAGGCCACACACTATTTAGGAATCACTGGGAAATTTGTCAGGGGGCTTAGGGCAGGATGACCGTGAGGTGTGTGGGGGCTCGGAGCGGTCAGCAGGGGTCAGGGGTCAATGACTGGTGGTGAGGCTGGACTAGGTTGCTCATAGGAAACTTCCTCTTTCAGAAAGAGCCCCCGATCGGTCTTCCTCAGAAAGCCCTGGCTCCTTGCTCTGCTCCACATGAGATCTGGGGATCGAAAGATGGCCGCGTCCCCACCGCTTATTGCTGTGTGACCTTGAGCAGGCAGGTGCCTTTCCTGTCTGGGTCACGGTTTGCTTCTCTGTGTCCTGGGGCGGGGGTCCCTGCCTCCAGGATGACTGTCGAGGTACTGAGCTGATGTGGCGCTAGTGGAGTCGGGGCTGGCAGCTCAGTGCCCAGGCTGGGCTGTGGGTGGATCACAAAGGTCATTTTCCTTTTGAAATGTATCTGTTTGGGGCCTAAAAGCAGGCTCCAACTGCCAGGTTGGGAAAGCCCCTGGGGAGTCTGTTAGCGTCTTCACTTCGTGCCAGTGCTGCGGTGCAGGGCAGAGGCCTGCTCTCCGCGGCTGCCACTCGGGGCCCTTCCTCTACGGAGGGCGGGGCTGGGCTCTTTCTGCCGCGTCAGACCCGAGTGACAGTGGTCAGTTAGCTGTGTGCGGTCACTCAGGACTGGCCGCACCTTGCCCTACCTCCTGGTCCTTGGGCTCAAAGGAAGGGAAGGGGCTTCTGGAAATGGGAGGTGGGGGTGTGTCCAGTCACGGAGGGCCACGCTGGTTGGAGGGCTCATAGGCATCATCCTGGGGCCGGGGTTTGCCCTGGTGGGCAGGCTAGGGTCCCACTTAGACTGGCCCCTGGGATGGAGGCCAGGGTCTCTGGACAAGGCTGCTTCATCACCACCTTGGCCCTGA